AATCGGCAACAACCGACCTGTTATCGAGTGATAACAGAAATTTGAGTCCTTCATGTAGGACTTCTCCTTTAATTGCAGTAGAACAAAGCAAAGACCTGCACACACACAAGTCTGTCTCTTATACACATCTAGATGTGTATAAGAGACAGGTTTCAACACGATCCAAAACATTTCAACACATTCCAACACACTTTCAACACGTTTCAACACATTTCAACAAGGTTTCAACAACATTTGAACAACTCTTCAACAAGATTTCAACAAGCTACCAACAATGGATCAACAGTTGGACCAACTGTCTGTCAACAGTTCATCCAACAGTTAAACACAACTTTCAGTGTCCCCAATATACGGTCAGTGTTGGTTTCCTTCAGTTTGTGTTGAACACATGCCCCCCCCTCGGCCAACGGTTTATAAACAGTTGAAATGTGATGTCAACATATGTTCAACGTGACAAAAAAATTGCCACATTTTTTCTGTTGTGGCTCCCGGCAAGAACCTTGCAGTTTGGAAATATGACATTCTACCATTTGCTTGGTGTTCTTCCACTGCAATTTTCTTCTTCTTATTGTTGTTATTTATATTATTATTAAAAATTATTATTATTCTTATTATTTGAAGGACCTTCCACGGCTTAAACCGCGAATTCAAATTCCCGGGGCACGGGGCCTCGACCAAGGAAGACCAAATCGGTCAAACCAATGGAAAGTCACAGTTGGGCGCCTTAGGAGTCAAGTCCGACATGCACATGGTGAACAATCATATCTCAGAGAGGAGAGTTACACCCATAATGAAACATCGTACTTCACGGACAAAGAGTCGAGACTCTTGGGCATACGCGGGGTGAGACTGACACGATAGGAGATGGTCACGGGCCGATGAGATTGCAGCGTGGTTGCGTTCTCCGCACACTCACGCTAAAAGGGCATGAATCACAGCCGGGCAATAGGACAACTGTGGACTGTGGCTGAATATACAAGGCAGCGAATCACGTACGTAAGAGCCTTGAGATACACTTGACTGAACGTCGGGCTGGCCGCTGTGGCCAGGGCAGAGCGGCGGAAACAAAGAGGGAGGAGAAAGTTCTCCTACAAGTAATGAATCAATAAGACGTCTTCGATCACTTTGATCACTTGGCTCATAAAAAGGGGTAAACAAAATAATTGGCACAATGTTTAACTTCCCAATAATATTGTTATTACTATTATTAATATTTTTATTTATTACCATTGAAACTGTTACCATCATTATTATTATTATTATTATTACTATTATTATTATTATTATTATTATTATTATTGAAACTATTAATGACTACCTCTATTATCATTATTGTTGTCTTATTATTTTCATTGGAACGCTTATTATTATTATTATTATTATTATTATTATTTTTTTATTTTTTTTTTTTGTTATTATTATTAGTATTATTATTATTATTATTATTGTTATTATTATTATTAGTATTTTACTATTGCTATTTTTGAGACGCTACGATTTGGGAGGAGGGAAACGATGTTACTATGTGGTGACGCCTACCTCCTCCATCTTACTCCATTCTTTTCCCTGTTTGATCATCTCCTGAACCGATTTCTTCAATACTATAACTTGTGTAATGATGTATTCCTATAAAGGTCCAAACGTCCCATTTCATAGATGATCCGAGATCGATAACAGGGCGATTGCGGGAGCTCTGTCGGAGTTCAGGAGGTACTCTGGAGGCAGGGAATCATGAGGTATGTGTCGCCTATCCCTTTCTCATATACCCTTACAGGTTACACCCTTCTATTGGACTACATGCGTGATTATGCGATATACTGTTTATACCTTTTCTTCAAGACGAAAGTATCAAAAGTGAAAATATTATATGCTTGAATTGAGAATCTGTCTGAAATGAGGAAAAAGAACCTAGGAAGGAACCAAGAAGGAACCTTGCCTGCATGGTCTTGAGAAAACAAAGACAGTATGATGGAGGCCTCCGTTGGGGTCGTCACGCTGCTTGTATGGAATGACTAAAAGGGTACTCGCTATGCGAACTACCCAGCCATCCACCTAACTAGTTGATTTTTGACATGCATACATTAATGACGAGAAGATGCCGTGCGTCTTCTCTGTTGACTTACCAGCTAAATCCATGACTAATCCGGTACTCCCGAGGAGTACATGTCCTGTCTCTTATACACATCTAGATGTGTATAAGAGACAGCCCGAGGAGTACATGTCTTTAATCAAAGCATGACTAATCCGGTACTCCCGAGGAGTACATGTCTTTAATCAAAGCATGACTAATCCGGTACTCCCGAGGAGTACATGTCTTTAATCAAAGCATGACTAATCCGGTACTCCCGAGGAGTACATGTCTTTAATCAAAGCATGAATAATCCGGTACTCCCGAGGAGTACATGTCTTTAATCAAAGCATGACTAATCCGATAGTTCTAAGGAGTACATGTCTTTAATCAAAGCATGACTAATCCGGTACTTCCGTGAAGTACATCTATCAGTTTAACAAAAGTCATTTGATCCGGTACTTCCGAGAAATACACTTCTTGAAACTTAACAAAAGTCAGTTTTACCGGTACTTCCGTGAAGTACATCTATCAGTTTAACAAAAGTCATTTGATCCGGTACTTCCGAGAAGTACACTTCTTCAAACTTAACAAAAACCAGTTTTACCGGTACTTCCGTGAAGTATATCTTTCAGTTTAACAGGAGTCATTTGATCCGGTACTTCCGTGAAGTACATTTCTTCAGTCTAACGAAAGTCGATTTGATCCGGTACTTCCGTGAAGTACACTTCTTCAAATTTATAGAAAAACATTTGATCGGTACTTCCGTGAAGTACACTTCTACAATCGTTAACAACAACCATTGATCTGGTGCTCCCGTGGGGCGACTCGACTACTCTTTTGGCTAACGGAATATTTGGGATTGATCAAGTAGTGGAAAATTCCCGAGTGAATCAGGCTACTACTTGCGCATGTCAGGACAAGGAGAAGAGAAAATGAAAAAGGGAGTACTCCATCGGGAGCGACCCCAAAGGTTCTTTAGAAAGAAACGTAAAAGAAAGCGAATACCGTAGGGGAAAAAAAATAGACAAGAAAGAGTTCCGCGTAGCCTCGGTTCATTGATAGACTCCTAAGGGAGAAACCACTGAATGACATGAGTTAAACTCTGTTAGACTACCGCATAAAGCACCAAAGAGTGCGCTTATCCGCAAGAGAGAAAAACTGCAAGGACTGAAGGAAGGGGAAATATGAGTTTCCCTGTGACAACCTGAGACACAGGCAAAAAAACTCCTTGAAATAAAAGGAGAGGTGACAGACGACTCAGGGTAAATAGGAGCTATGAGTTAGACTTTGGGATGTTGATCCCAGAGTTCACAAACCGGATCTAAGAGTTTGATCCTTAGATATCATTATGAGGGAATCAAGTGGGGATGATGAATCATTGTTGACCTGTGTGTGTGTGCAGGTCTTTGCATTGGTATTAAAGGAGAAGTCCTACCTAAAGGACTCAATTTTCTGTTATCACTCGATAACAGGTCGGTTGTTACCGATTCAACTTTCCCCTTTGACTTGATACTCACCTCTAAAGTCAAAACCTGTGGTCAGTAAAACTGTCACCTGTGGTCATTGCCTAAATGGTCCTAGTCACTCTCAAGGGTCCTTTGTAGAAATGTGAGAGGGTTCGGCTTACGTCTCAGGAAAGACAAGGCTGTTATACATGGTTTGGGAAGTGAGGGACAAGGTCAATGGTTGATGGTTGACTCCGTTAGTGCATGGCATGTGAACTGTCTTTTCATTATTCTGTGCAGGTTTGTTTTGTGCGTGACTTTGGATTGAACTGGACCTGGTCTGTTGAAGAGTCTCAGATACACAACACTTGTG